GGGGGGCGGGGGTTGGGGGTGGGCAGAAATACACATAGTCACAGAATCGAAATGAAGGTCTGACTCCGAGGATTGCAGGATAACACAAGAGGGAAAGGGGATGCAGCACGGAAAGGAGACTGCAATATTTTAAGGGAGGCAGTAGATTTAGCCACCCGGCACTTGATCTGAATGCAATAATTATGCATGCACGGATAGGTGTTTATTGTATGCATACATGCATATGTACAAACATGCACAACCCAAACACATGCATGATGATTAACCAACACCTCTTTACTCTTCTGCAAGGCACCTATTATTTCCCTCTTTGCAATCAAGTAAAGGAAGCCTGTTTTTTTCTCACTTTGGGGAAACTTCTCACTTCTGTTTCTTTTTACAGAAAATTTGAAAGCAAAATTTAGATGCTTGGTGTTCTCATCTGCTATACATTGTGGTTGTTTACCTTTTTATTCTCTTCTTCCTCCTGCCTCCCCCCCCCACCCCCCATCCTATTTTGAGTCTGTTTTAGCATAGAAAAACACACACACATATTTGACAATAAGTGATCTTACCTTGGGTAGAAAGTCCTTGTTGAATATACATAACTGAAAAGAAAATGAATCCAACATAAGCTAGAAAGATCCCCATCATTCCAAGTCGAAGAAGAAGTCACATCAGGGTAACAGAAGCCAAAGGTGCCCTCAAAAAAGGAAGAACTAATATCTGAGTGTATGTATTTCTAAATATATGAACGGAAAGAGATTCTAAAATGTTACAAAAAGGCTCTGTATTGTAGCCCTAGCTGCGACACTGGCAGCATTCTGCTACTCAGTGGAGTCTTTTTCTTTGGGAAGAGCAAGTATTGCAATACAGTGTGGTTCAGATGAGCTGTTTCAGGCGCTGTGTTGCTTGAAGTCCAGATTCAGACTTGAAAAAAAAAAAAAAAAAACGCGTTGAAAAGTGGGTATCAGCTGCCTTCTGTGCCTTTTTTCAGCTACCTGGCAGCTTCGTCCAACGTCAGCTCCTGCTGCTCAGGATGGCGTGATGACTGCCCTCCCTACACAGTGATCCAGCTTGGGAAGGGGGGAAA